TTCAAATAAGAAAAACAGTCTATGGATCCTTGATACTGGAGCATCAGATCACATAGTGTGCTCCTTAGACTCTTGTTGAATATAAAGAAATAAACAATGTTTTTATCACTTTGCCAACTGGAGATCAATTCAAAGTCACCCACATTGGTACAACTAAGTGCACAGATGACCTTATTCTTGAGGATGTCCCCTACATAGCACATTTCACCTTCAACCTAATTTTTTTAGCAAACTCACTTCCAATAAACCCCTCTACTTAAACTTCTACTCTGACTTTTGTCTCATAGGACTTGGAGCATAAGAAAATGGCTGGTTCTGCTAGACTCACCAATGGCCTCTACCATCTAGAAGTAGATCATAACCCTAAATACATCCCTGCTACTATGAAAAACACATTTGATATGTGGCATTTTAGATTAGTTCATATTTCCCATTCTAAAATCCCACACCTCGGCCAATTTTGTACCCCCATCCAAACTATCATACCAGTCTTGTGATGTCTGTCATTTTGCTAAGCAAAGAAGACTTAGTTTTCCTGTCAGTCAATCTGTAACTCATCAACCTTTTGAACTGATACATGTTGATATATAAGGTCCCAATTATATTCCTACCTTTGATGGTTACAAATACTTCCTAACAATAGTTGATGATACCATCGCACTAATTTCCAGCCTAGAGCTAGAAAGGGTGTTTTCATAAGATTCACAACTGCTATCAAAGGCTACTAGATCTATGATCTAACATCTCATGAGACTTACACTTCTATAGATGTTATCTTTTATGAGGATGAGTTGCCCTTTAAGATCCTAGCTAGCAGTGATGAATCCCCTCCACAACAGAGCACTCATCTCTTCCCATCACCAACATCACCCCTTGTCTTTGAAAACTTTCTTTCTCCTCCCCCACCACCACAAGCACTTTTTCCTCCTGATCCTCAACAACCACCATACATTCCATCATCATCTTTGCACATTCTGTCGATCCCTCCACTGATCAATATGCAGTCACTTTCTCCACCCCATCTTCCAGTTCTGACACTCTCATTTCTTCACCCCCCCCCCCCCCACCTAATCCTCTTCTTCGTAACTCAGACAGAACATCTAAACATCCCACTCACCTAACCAAATACTACCATTGTTATCTCTTACACCAGTCTAGCACTACCAGTTAGCATTCTTCACTCCAGGATCAAGACAAAAGGTATCCTCTCTCTTATACTATCTCCTATCACACTCTTGCTCCTCATTACGAACACTTTATTCTCAGCATTTCATCTCATACTGAACCTAATACTTATGAGGAAGCATCACAATCAACTCAATGGAGCAGCAAAAAACCAAGGCTTTGTTCAAAAACAACATATGGAATGTTGTTGAACTCCCTGAAGGCAAGAAGCCAATTGGTAGCAAATGGGTCTATCTCCTAAAGTTTGAATATGATGGTTCTTTGGATAGATTTAAAGCCAGGGTAGCGACCAAAGGAAATACTCAACAAGAAGGAGTTGATTACCATGACAAATTTGCCCTAGTGATCAAGCTGACAACACTTAGTACATTTTTTTGTCATTGCTGCTATGAGGAATTGGCATGTTCACCGGCTAGATGTGAACAATGCCTTTCTCCATGGAGATCTCCAGGAGGAAGTCTACATGACCGAATGGGATATGATCCCCCACCTAGTTTTAAACAACCAGTTTGCAAGCTAAAAAATCCCTTTATGGATTAAAGCATGCCTCAAGACAATGATTTTCCAAACTCATAGACAAACTACATCAGCTTTAGTACATACAGAGCAAGACATACCATACTCTCTTCTTCAAAGCCACAACACCACCTATACTTGTATCCTAATCTATGTGTATGACTTGCTTCTTGGTGGTAATGACATACAGGAAATTCAAAATCTGAAGATAGAACTTCATTCTGCATTCAGCATCAAAGATCTTGGTCCACTCAGGTTCTTTTTGGGAATTGAAGTGGCACGAAACAACAAAGGTATTCATGCCTCTCAAAGGAAGTACACACTGGAAATCATTGAGGAGGTCAATTTACTTTATTCAAGAAAGGTAACTACACCAATGGATTACAAAATTCATCTTAGCAGTGAATGTGTAACACCCTACGAGGATCCTAAACACTGGTTGGGAAGCTAGTCTATTTTACAACAACTCGCCCAGATATCAGCTATGCTACCCAACAATTCAGTCAGTTCATGTCTAATCCTAGTGTCATTCATTTCAAGGTATTTCAAAGAATACTCAGATACATCAAATCTGCTCCGGCAACTGGTCACTTTTTCCCTGCCACTGGTGATTTTCATCTCAAGGCTTTCACCGACTCTGATTGGGCTGCGTGTGTTGATACCAGACGATCCATCTTTGTGTACTGTATATACCTTGGCAACTCCCTCATATCCTGGAAAAGCAAGAAACAGAAGACAGTAAGCAGATCTTCTTATGAGGTAGAGTATAGGAATCTTGCATTCACAGCTTGCGAGCTTCAATGGCTACTCTTTCTTCTCGTCGATTTCAAGGTAGAACAGACTAAGCCAGCTACGCTATACTGTGACAACCAAAGTGCAATTTATATTGCAGAAAACCCTACCTTCCATGAGCGGACGAAACAAATTGAATTCGACTGTCATCTTGTTCGTGAAAAGTTCCAATTGAAGATCATAAAGCTGCTACACGTCTCCTCTTTCTCACCAGCTGGCGGATCTCTTCCCCAAACCTTTCTCACCTGCTCCCTTTCGCTACCTTTTCTACAAGTTGGGTCTGCGTAATCTATGCCCACCAGCTTGCGCGAGGGGGGGGGGGTAACAGACCAGACTAAATACAAATTCAAACCAGCTGCCAACACTCAAGAAGAAAACAACGAAGGTTTATGTCCAACGGTGTTGTTTATGTTTATTTCAAGTACAAGTTTGCTTTTTCGTCAAGTTTAACTTTGTTTCTTTTTCAAATAAAGAAAAAGAAAACAGAGATGTGTATGAAGCTGACTATGGTTGTCTTGCAGTAGCCAACCTTCATATAAATTGCAAACAGATCAATGAGAGAAGTTAAGCCCTAAGGTTTCACTCAAACAAAAGTTTGTTATTGTGTGTAAATAATTATTTGATTGGAACTGTTGTTGCCAATTCATCAATAAATTATTGTTTTTCTAAATAGCTAACTCTAAAGAGGAGGAGATGACTAACTATCTATTAAACAGTAATCATATCAAAAGCGATAATAATAAAAGGTATTTAGAAAGTTGTTTTCTCCGAATTGATAGCTGGTCAAAACCACAATAAACATATTTCGTCCCTCATTGTGTCAAAAGTTGTTTTCTCCGGATTAATGTCCGGTCAAAACCACAAAAAAACTTTATGCAACTACAAACTACCGTCGCAGAAAGTTTGGACATATTTTGCGACGACAAAATAGCGGTTGAGTAAATTATTTAATGGGCTGAATAGTAACCACCAATCCCATTGGCTATTACATTTTTTTAATTTTTGTTATTATTATTATTATTAAAATCAAAAGCTTGATTATTATATTATTTTAATCCAAAAAATTATAATCTGATGTTACAAAGTCATTGAACTGCAAAACAATTTAGCCCTCCTCTTGCGGGCCCAGAAAGACAATTTAGAAAGCTGGTTTGGGTTTGTGTTAAAAAAATTACAACACTGGGGAGATTAATGGGTACAAGACCCATTTGGCCTGCAGTATGGCAACTAATGCTTTGGTTGGTGCTTCAGCCCATATCCCTCATGGATTGGATTTGAAACAGATAAGGGGCGGGCGAAGACTGTAGTACTACTCTCTCACAATCGCATCCTCTCATCCTCTGATGGGTGGGCTTATTATTGTCGGTGGAAGTGAAATGAACTTTGAAAGGTCCTCTCCTCCCCAAACCACGTCTCACAAGTCACATGTCAAGAAAGAGTCGAGACTTGGTCGCAACCATTAACATAATGTAATATGGAGACGCGATTATACTATGTTAATATTTTCTAAACAATGTTTAAGAAGACGCTAGGCGCTATCTAGGCGAGATTAAACGTTGAAAAAAAATATGATAGATAAGCCATATTCCACAAAAACTCAAGTCACCATATCATTATTCATCCATTCATATACACATACAAGCCTTTTCCACAATCTCAAACTTCCCAAGTCGCCAATCATGATAAGGGATCTCGCTGCTAGTCGATGAGGGGGAGTGGCTGGTCGAATGGAAATGGGAAATAATAGAATAGGGTTTGGGATTTTCACAAAAAGGCTACATTTTTCCCCTTTATTAGTTGTTCTGGGCGTCGCCCACCAGAGTGAAAACGTGCCTCCGAATGCCTAGGCGCCAATTAGGCGTTTTCCATGGAGATTAATCATTTAACATGCCTATATCAATCGCACAGGGCTAGACGAGACGGTTTCCTCCTGCCTAACTATTAATCATGCTTAGACGAGTGATTAATCGCGTCTTCTTAAACACGGTCTCTAATAGAGTCTACTTGAACACTGTCTCTAATAGAGTTTGGTCTATGCAGGAAGGAGGACACTAGTCTCGTTGAAAAGTAAAGAGAGTGGCCGAGTGTGCCGCTATAGCATATTGGAAAGTGGATCGAGTCCCCGATCTGATCTGGTAACCTACAATCTGGACCGAACCAGACCGAAAAATCAAAACAGACCATCATGCATACCATGGACTGAATCAAACCATTCTAAACCATCGATAATTCACCTCAAACTATATGGTCCAATTTGGTTCACGACTTTTGAAACTGATATATTCTCACAACCTAGACGTACAGAATCTACAAGTGTAGACCACTCTTTTAAACATCTTGTATTATATACTACAAGCTAAGAACAAGAGGAGAAAGAATGCATACAGAGTTCAGTAACTCTAGCATCAACCCAACCAACCAACAAAAAGAATGCCCCTCTCCTGAGCAGGAGCTGCAGAATACCTGCAATTCGGTCTACATGAACTTATGTACACCACTGTCATTTCTCATCTCGCACATAGGACATTGAGCAACACATGAGCCAGCATTATGTCCACAAAGTACTGGTGCCCAATCTCGCCGTCCTTCCACTTCATTCTCAACGGAGCTCTCCCGTAATGCACTCCGTCGCTGCACCGGTGATCGAAATGCCAAGGGAACGTCATGTCGAAGTCATCCACCACACCGTCCATCACCCCGGCCCTCCTGAACTTGTCCAGCACCACCCAATTGAACGCCTCCATCTTGCTCGGATTAAACGCCATCTTCCTCGCGTCCCCAGCAGTGGTCACCGTCGTCCTGTAAATGACCCGCGGAGCAGCCAGCCCTCTCCGCCTCACCGAATCCATCACCTCGCCCCAGAACCGAGCAGCATAGTCAGCTCCTCCGGCGAATTGCCTCAAGTTTGGCCAGTATATCCCATCGTGGAGTCCAGAGTTCATGATCACGGTGTCGGGCACAGTATCTTCAGTGAAGTACTTCTTCAGCAGGTCCCTAAATCCATCATTTCTCAACGAATTCAGACCCTGGTAGTTCTGTGTCTCGTTCCAATGCCCGTTGAAAATGCTGGTGATACGAACCGATTGAGACGCGTCGTTGGGGTTGGTGAAGTTCCGATCGAATCTTCGTGGGACGGATTTCACATCGGGCAGATTCAACACGAAGTTGAGCAAGTTCCTGATTGTGTCCACATGATTGGAATCGCCCCAGAAGAAAATCCACCTGTTCTTGAGGCAATTCCAGCCCGAATCGGGCTGGTAGAGGTTGAAAGAGCAGTGTGTGGAGTAAACCCAGCCGTTGCTTTCCAATTCCCCCAATGAACCTCTACACCAAGTGTTCCGGCAGGGGAAATCGGAGGGCAAACAACGGTACCGGCCGTCGTAACTAATCTTGCAATCGTCGTTTTTACCATGTCGTGTCCATCTCCCAACCCATAAATCTCTACTGAAATCGGACTTCGAGCAAGCTTTTAACTGCGGTAATTGGATGTTACCTGTGGCGGTGAATCTGACTCGGAGCTTGCGGAGCTCTTTGTCGATGGCGAATCTGCCCGGCGAGAATTTTAGACCCTCGAAATGGCGGTAGAGGAGGATGAGAGTGAGGTCGTAATCTCCGGCGAAATCGGGGTGAACTTGGAGGGTAATTGAGTAATTCCCGTTCCCGAAATCTTTGACTAGAGGCCGAGATTTCCATGACTGACCTGAAAGATCCGATTCGAAGTAATCCCCGCCGGAGCAACGAGGGTTCTTGGACTCGTCCACCGCCTGGAAAATTAACTCGTGTGAGTCTCCGGCGGTAAGCTCCAGAATCCCCTTCTTCCCGTCCAGATCTGGAATCGCGATTTCCTCGGTGTGTGAATCTTTGCATGCCTCCCCGCCGGGAGCCAGCCACCGGGAGAGAAGCCCGGAAGTGAAATTAGCCTCGAGCTCCGCTGTCACCCACTCCGCATCGCCGCCGCTCGACTCTTCTTCCACTCGCGCCGGCATCTGTACTAACAACCCATCTTCCTGCGAGCTCGCGGCGGAGCCATTACTGCTGCCGTTGAGCACGTCGCGGCCCAGAGGAAGAATCGGACTCGCAGGAGCATCAGCTGCGGCTGAGGAGGAGGCGAAAATGGCGGTCTCGTTGCGGAGCGTGAAATCGGCGTCGGCGGTGGTGAAATTTTCCCGGTGGGGATTTTCTTGAGCTAGATTCGCGGTGGGTTGGGGACGAAACTTTGCGGCTGTGATGAGCTGTGGCTTGGTGGATCTCAAAGATTCGACGAAGCCCTTAATAGTACAGCCGTCGATGTTCCAAACAACCACCATGCTCACGAAGACCATGGCGGTCAGGAAGTGGAACCGCCATTGATGCAGAGGGCTGGGGCGGAAAAGCCATGCGAAGGCCTTGGAGGAGGACCTCGGAGAATTCAGTCCTGATTTCTCCGGCATGTGTGCAATCTAAGCAAGAACATAGACCGTGGAATTCGGGGAAGAAAAAGGGAAATTTTTGGGGAAATCGATGCTTGGGTTGGGAAACGGGAAAGAGAAAGAGCAAGAAATTCTTTTGACGACAGTCTCTACTCTCTACAGAGTTGAGCTCTGAGCAGAGACCATGAAAAAGAGAAAGCGTAATCTAATATATTATTGAGCAAGATTGCAGTTTTCTTGGGGGGGAAACTAACGGGAGGAAGCAGAGAGTTGGGTTGTGGATCTGTGAGCTGAAAATTTTCTCGCTGGGCGAGAAAGTTGAGTGTTTGGTTGCTGAGAGAGCCTGAAACTAGTAGCCAAAAGAAAAGAAAATCAGTAATGGCCTTTTCCGGCTGCTTTTTGGCGGATATGTTAATTATTTTTTAAAGAGAGGAAAGGGAAAGGGGAAAAGGAGGGAGGGAAATAATTTTGGGCAGTTTCCGTCGCTAATTAAGGAATCAAACCCCACATTACAGTAAATACGGGATTATATTATATTATATTGCGTAAATAGAGTATTAGTAATTTCATATGAAGTCCATTTCCAACTCAGAAGTCAGAACACAATTAGTCAATTTCCAACTAAAGGTCTTCTTGTATAAATCGCAACCCCAAGTTATGCGGAAACAGATCCGTTCAATAACTTTCTTGTTAATAATTATCTATAAATCAATTATTCTCCGCCACATTAGTGTCTCTTCTCTTTACTGAAAAGCCTTTAATTTTCTCCCATTAATTTTTAACGGACGATTTTTCACTCGTTTTAAATCAAAATTATTTTTTTTCACAGTTAGATTAGATTAATTGTGCTCTTCAAAATGATATTCACTTTGATATATTTTTTGGAAAAAATAAATTGAGCCATTTTTTACCAGTATATACCATATGGTATTAACTTGTATTGAAATTAGAGCATACATGTGGTTTGAAAAGCGTACTATAGTGGTATGAACAAACCAAGACTATAGGATGGTTGAATACATGATAGTATAAGTATATTAACTGTCATTTACGACTTTAAACATTGTGTACCACAAGATACCACCCCGTACCAGAATGGTATTGTGTGGTATTTTTTTGTCCTGTATTTTGTTCGCCCAGAAATTTGTAGATCCAATAGATCATGATGAACTCGTTCCTTCTGTGCAAAAAAATTCAAAAACGAATTAAAAACGAAGAACCGAGAGGCAAGAATTGTTTTCTCAAAAAATATTGAAAATGGATCTTGTTTTGTAAAGCACAACGAACTCGTTCCATCTGTGCCAAAAAAATTGAAATCCGAGTTAAAACGAAGAAGATATGAGCCGATTAAGAAAACAAGAGAAAGTAAAAATGACCTTTAGTTCTCCATTTTTAGATCTTAATTTTCTGAATGAAGAGTCCAGATTTAGTTACTGATATTATGCACTGTATCTTGAACCAAGTTATGTCGCATAAAAATCCCATTTTATGGTAATGGTAGATTATCCATAGTTTTTTTTTCTTTATCATCTATTCTGGTTATATAATTTTCTCTTAAAGTTTTTTTTTCGTTGAATCAGTTGCTTTATTCCTCAATGAAAAGTAACCAATACAACGAAGAGGGAATGACTCTCGGGAAAAAACCCTCGATTAGCAAAAACTAAGGAAAGACTCACCTGCACTCAAAACTACTACTTACATGTCAAATAAGCCTATAAGTAACCAAGATGAACAAGACTATCCCGAACCCCTCTATCTCCATGAGATATAAACATTAAATCAGCTCGAATAAGATCAGCAACAATATCTGGGGAGCGACATAAATCTCCATGTACCACTCGACATCGTTCTTTCCAGATATACGATACTGCAATACACCATAGCAACGCATGCCACTGTCCATGAGAACCTCTGCTAACCACTCCTATGATAAACTGGATCATCGCATCCCAAGTCTGAAAATTCTGACGAGGTATATGAAACTGCTCATAGAGTCTTTGAGAGAAATTGCAGTAGAGGAAAAGATGGTCTCGATCTTCTACATCAGTACCACACAACGGACAGGCAGCATCCTGAATTCTTCCCCAACTCATCAACTTGGCTCGAGTTGTGATAGCATTGTGCATTATCAGCCAAGCAATCAAACTAAACCGAGGAAAACAATATTTGCTCCAAATGAGCTTATACCAGCAGACTTTAGCCCCCTTCTTGCGCAAAGTCTCTCAAACTCTCTTAACTGAGTAGACCTGCATTTCCTGCAATCCCCAAAATACAATCCCATTCTGTTGCTGCATCCATGGCGCAATAACATCTCGCAGTTTCAGCAGCCTTCTCCAAACCCAGGAACTACTGTATTGCACTTTCATTGTCCAAATATCACCAGTTTTACACTTGTATGCTACCATCCATGCTACCCACAAGGCCCCAGCCTTCATAAGAAACAACCAGAGCAGTCGAGCAGCACAGGCTTGGTTCCAGGCAACCAAATCCCTCAATCCAAGTCCTCCTTCCCTCTTAGGCAGAGCCACCTAGTCCCATGCTACCTTTGCCCTACCCATAGTATCTCCATGCCATAGAAATTGAGAGCAAACCTGCTGGATCTTCTTCAATGCCTTCTTGGGAAGAACAAAAAGCTGCATCCAATACTGAACAACTCCAAGTAAAACTGAATTAATAAGCTGCAGCCTACCAGCATATGTGAGTTTCTTGGCACGCCATGATTTGATTCTTTTTGTTATCTTGTCCACCAGTATATCAATTTCTGTAGAAGAGAGCTTACCAGCCATCAGAGGGAGTCCCAGGTATCTGACAGGCAGAGTACCCTCCTTGAACCCAGAAAGATGCAGAGCATTACTTTTATACTTTATAGCCTCACCTCCAAAATATATTTCACACTTAGAAGGATTACTCTTGAGCCCTGATAGTTTGTAGAATCTGTTCAGGACCTCTTTAACCTGGAGGATTGCTTGAGCAGAGCTAGTAGTAAAAACCAGAATGTCATCCGCAAAACATAGGTGATTCAATGAAATCCTTTGGCATTGAGGGTGATAAGGGATTCTACCATTTTGACTGGATGCAAGTAACATGTTGGATAATCCCTCCATAGCAATGGTGAACAGGTAAGGTGATAAAGGATCACCTTGCCTGACACCTTTCCTAGCTCTAAAGAATCCACATAAACTGCCATTTATATTAAAGCTGTAATGGGCAGTTTGAAGGCAGGCCTTGATCCATTTCATAAATTGTTCAGGGAACCCTATTGATTGCATCATAAGAAACAGGTAATGTCAGTTAACTGAGTCAAAAGCCTTCATGATGTCAATTTTAATTGCACATCTAGAAGACAAATGACTTCTATTATATCCACTCACAAGTTCCTGGGTCAACAAGATGTTGTCCATAATACTCCTACCCTTAACAAAAGCTGATTGAGTATTTCCAATAATCAACGGCATAACTTCACTAATTCGCCTTGCAAGTATCTTGGCAATTATCTTATAAAACAGATTCACACAGGAGATAGGCCTATAGTTCTTTAAGGTGTCAGCATTTGAAACTTTAGGAATAAGAGACACGGCAGTAGCATTCACTCCACTAGGGAGATTACATGTGTTGAAGAAGTAGAGAACCCCATTAATGACATCCTCCCCAATAATTGACCATGTCCTCTTATATAAGCCTGCTGAAAACCCATCTGGCCCCGGGGCTTTCTGAGGATTCAAATTGAATACTACACTTCTGATCTCCTCTGCTGTAATGTCTTTAGTCAGATTATCACGTTCTTGATCAGGTAACCTGTGCTTAACCAGCTGGTCAACTTCCTCTCTACTCGGCTGAATCTCCATATTAGCTTCCCCCAGGAGTTTCTTATAGTATCCTAGAACCTCCTCTACAATCTGCTCCACCTGATACAATTCCACTCCAGAGTCTGTAACTAACTTCCTGATGGCCCGCTTAGAATTATGAATCTTGACAGCCTGATGAAAGAAATTGGAACTCTGATCCCCCACCTTTAACCAGGAAACCCTTGATTTTTGCCAACAGAAACTACCATAAGCTGAAATTATGTGATCATAAAGATCCTTCTTAATAGAAACAGCCTCAAAATTGCCAGAGGTAGGATCCTGATATGCTACTGCTTGAGCCCGCATTAATTCTCCCTCAGCCTCCCTAACTTGATCCTGTAAGTTACCATACACTTCCTTGTTAAACCGCTTTAAAGCTTGCTTAACCCTACCCATTTTCTCTTAAAGTTATCCAAAACTTAAATTAAAGATGATAAGTATCTTTTTCTTTGGTTGTTGGTCTGAATATTCGAACAAATCTAATACATTCGAACAAATCTAATACATTAGAATTAAAATAATAAACTTTTATATTATGGATTAATATAATCCATACAGATAAAAAAGTCATAAGTAATGTGATTTTTAATTTTCATGGAAAATTTTGGCTTTTATATTATTGTACATATAATTAAACAAATCTATTGTTGTGTATCTCATAAGTTAGTCATTTTGAAATCATTTGTGATTTGATTTCGAAACTCCTTTTTTATTTAACTTGAAACGAGCAAAAACATCTATTTCTTAACATTTTGTTATAAATAGTTAAATGGTTTCGCTAATTAATAGGAATGAAACTTGATGGTAATTTATTACTCATACTCGTACATAAAACGTTGGACAATATAATTTTGTTAAGAGGAGTAATTCATTTTGAAATGTGGTTCGCACGATAGGTCGATAATACAACTTTTAATCAGTTGAACATAAATATACAGAAATCACTTTCTAATCATCAAATGAGAGAAATACATGACCCGGAATTGTTTAACAAATAGAGATTCACAGTTATGTTCTTAAATCTTAATATATCATTTGGTAGAGAGGTGAAAGAAACTAACATAAATGAATCTTAAAGATAATTGAGATCCAATAAAAGATCGAAGCATAACATGCTAGAACAAACAATTTGTGAGTTTAGGTCAAAAACTCAAAATGACCATCCTTAAACTAATA